GGGGGATGGGCTGTAGCTGTGCGCCCCCTATTTCCAGCAGATGGGCGACAGGTGCCTTGGCCCTGAAGAGAGTTTCTGGGTAGAGCACCACAGCACTCACTACAAACACATTGCTTGTAAGATACATCCTGAATTCAGAAACGTGAAATGTGAAGAAAGTGCACCTTTGCAGGGTACAAATACCGTATAAGGATTCAGTAGCGTTTGTTTGTTTGTTTTGGTATGGAGGAGCAAGCTGGACTTGTGGAAGAATTCTAGTAGAGAATTGGAACCCCAGAGGGTCTCAGGGACTGTTTTCCACTATCTGTCATTCACGGGTCTTTTTGCAAATCTATTTTACTCTTCCTCCTTGATATCACAGCTTTCTTTGCTAAACCGTTTAGCCACGCCCCTGTAGGACGTGGATGATGGCCCGTACTGTGCTGGTGAATGCTTCAAAATTGTCTCTCTGGAGGAAAAGAAGTGTGCACATGTATTCATGTAATTTTTACTGATCTAGGGGATGCGGAGGACACAATTTTAGGTAATGATGAGCTATACAGCACTCTTATTGTAAAGCCCATATAGCCCGTTGAATCTCACCGAATGCTTTCATTGATTTCTGTAGAACTCTTGTCTCCCCAGCCAGTCTGTGGGTGTAAAGGATGAGCGAGTCTAGCTCTGACATGAATGCTGCTTGATATTTTATTTATTTATTTTTAAATATTTTAATGCTTTTTTGTTGTTGTTTGTTTGTTTTTTGTTTCTGAGTGACAGAGGACAGAACATGAGCAGGGGAGGGGCAGAGAGAGAGGGAGACCCAGAACCCGAAGCAGGCCCCAGGCTCTGAGCTGTCAGCACAGAGCCCGATGCAGGGCTCGAACCCACAAACCGTGAGATCATGACCTGAGCCAAAGTTGGATGCCCAACCAACTGAGCCACCCAGGCACCCCTAGATTAGGTAGCTTTTTAAAAAGTTACATTCTATCCGTTAGGACAGCAACAAAAAACCCCAGGTCATTCTGATTACTTTGGTATTTCTTCCACCCTTCAGAAATGACAAATAATCTTTTTTGTTGGAAGAGTTACTCCACCAGAGCAATAGTCTCATCCATCTTATGTTGGTTTTGACTATCTCTTCCCATAGACAATGACCAGTCTTTCCTTTCTTCCTTTTCTAAGTTTTATTTTATTTATTTTTTTAGTAATACCTACACACAACGTAGGGCTTGAATTCACGACCTCGAGATTGCAGTGCAGAGCTCACAGAAGGACACTTATGAAGATTTATGAAGATTTACACAATTATGAAGATTTACACAAATGTTTTTTTTGTCCAGTCCTTTGCTTTCTTTCAATGGCATTATTTACAATTTATCATACATAATTTCTAAAGTAGATACGCTAGAAAAATGTGTAATGAATGTCAATAATTAAAATATGACTGCTCTCTGGATATTTTCTCCACATTATGGAATTTGTGTCAAATTATGGCATGAAGAAGAAAAGAAGAATCACCAGTGGTTACTCTTGACTGATAACAACCTGACATTTTGATATGTTTCCTTCCAGTCATTTTTTTTCTAGGTTTATATGCTTTTCTATCCAAAAAGGGACCATAAGCTATATTTCTAGTTTTTTTAGTTTATTTTTTTTTTTTACAAAGCATTATATCACAAGCATTCTCATATAAATGAATGTTTTGTGAAACCTGGTTTTTAATGTTCCATATTATTGCATTGTATGTGTGAACTACAACTTATTTAACCATTCCCATGTTTAAGATATTTGGGTTGCTTCCAATATTTCACTTTTTAAATAACTGCCGTTATGGAACGGGATGCATATTCTGAAAATGGACATGTTCTCCCTTAGAGTCTTTTTTTCCCTTCTCTATTGAAAATCTTACTTGTCAGGTTTTTAATTTTTTTTTCATGTTTATTTATTTATTGTTGAGAGAAAGAGAGACAGAGCATTAGCAGGGACAGGGCAGAGAGAGAGGGAGACACAGAATCTGAAGCAGGCTGTAGGCTCTGAGCTGTCAGCACAGAGCCCCCCATGGGGCTCGAACCCACAAGCTGTGCGATCATGACCTGAGCCAAAGTCAGACACTTAACTGACTGAGCCAACAGGGCGCCCCAAAAAGCTTACTTGTCAGTTTGCTTGTTCAAGTACACATCTCTCACTGTTCCATCTCAAGCTTTTATCAGGATGTAGTGCACATGTTTACAGAAACATCAAAATCAGTGAAAGTCTGAAATGTAAAAGCCTGTTTATGGTAGCTAGTTTTTTCTCTGGTTTAACACTTAACTGTCTCCTATTAGCCAGCTAACCCTTTGCTGTCAACTTCCGTTACTGTTACGGTCATCTCTGTCTGTCCTTCATTCAGATTTTTGTATAATAATCCCTAAAACAGGAAAGTGCTAACAAATTATTTGCTTAGTGAATTAGAAGTGACTCAGGAAATAGATATCCATATAAGAGTGTTGTCATGTTTATTAGTTCAAGGACCCTTTTTCTGTAAAAGATTTTAAGCTTTTAAAAGCCCTAAAAATTAGCCAAGCCTCTTAGGTCAGAGAGTCAGTTAACTTCCTATTGTCGATCTATTTCTGGTAAAACCAACATACACATGTATACAAAACTTTGTAAACTGAACAATTCTCTACCATCTTTATTTTGATAAATCATCTTACCTAGTATCAGTTGATGGAACTGAATGATATTTCCCTCCTTTTTGAGTAGGAAAAACTAACATGTCAAATATTTTTAGTTATGACTTAACTAGAATTTCAAAAACAACTTCAATGGCATAGAACCAAAGATAAATGCTTTGTAAACAATTCTTAGGGTCTTTTTAAATTAAAACCTTATGGGTGCCTGGGTGGCTAAGTCGGTTAAGCATCCAACTTTGGTTCAGGTCATGATCTCACAGTTCGTGGGTTTGAGCCCCACGTCGGGCTCTGTGCTGACAGCTCAGAGCCTGGAGCCTGCTTCGGATTCTGGGTCTCCCTCTCTTTCTCTGCTCCTCCTCCGCTCACGCTCTGTCTCTCTGTCTCAAAAATAAAAATAAAACATCAAAAAATTATAAACATAAAATTAAAATCTTAGATATAATTTTTCTCCACAATTTAATTTTTCTTCTTGGGTTGGACTTAAAAAACACGCAACTATTTCTGATTACAACTCCAATCATATCACTGAAAATCTTGATTGCCGAACACATGACCATAAAAATGATCTGAGTTAGCTTAGGGTAAACGTTCAATTATGACCAAGGTATATAAGCAATCTAGAACTGAGGAAGAAGAGACATTTACTTCCAAAACGACTTAAATGGATGTAGTTGCTTAACTTTACAGGAAATTTAACGGGCTGGCAATGAACCCTGCCCCTTTATTCTGTACTTATAAGCTAATTGTATTGTTCAGGTTTTTCCCACTCTAGTGCATTCATATTGGTGAGCAGGTAACTTGGAACTCTGATGTGAACTTCTGGTATAATGAGTGAAGATCTGGCCCTAGTTAACTTAATTGAAGTGTTCTACGAGGAGGCTTTTGCACCTGAACTAGCAGGTACAAGCAGGTGTGATAACTTCTCATTAAAAATGCGCCACGACTCGGGTTTCAGCCCGCTTTCAATTCTATCTACTAGCATAAACGGCAGGCGCGCTTCCGGAGGGCGCCGCCAGGGGGTGCAAATCCAAGCGGCTTCGTCAACAACAGGGGCCCTGGAGCGCTTCCTTCCGTCCTCTCGCTCACCTCAGCTTCCGCCGGAAGCGGTTCCTGTCAGTCGTCCTCCGGCGTTTGAGCTTGTTTGTGTTGGTTCGCGGCGCCTGGCCGAGTGAGGCTCGGACGGAGGAGCTGGAGAGGGAAGCTCGAGCGTAAACCCGGGCGGCGAGATGGACGTTCTGAAATCGGAGATCCTCCGGAAGCGGCAGCTGGTGGAGGACAGGAACCTGCTGGTGGTGAGGATCCTCGGGGGTCGTGGGGCTTTGGCGATCGAAGACGCGTGTGTGTGTGGGGTGGGGGGGCGGTAAAGGGGTCCTGGTGGGGATGGAGCTTAACGAGAGCCCGCCAGTACCCCGGAGCGGCCCCTTTAGACCCACCCCTCGACACCTCCCTGGGGTGACTTAGGAAGTGGGGAGTTGCAGCAAACCCCCCACATTTTGGCAAATTTCCCCCCAGCTGCCCCTTATTCCTCAAAGCCTCCGTATCTGCCCCTTCTGTCCACTCTGATCTGTCCGAGTTCTGCGAACGTGCCCCAGTTCTTGTGCCCAGCTGGAACAGAGAAAGGGCAGGTCCAGAATTATTTAATAAAAATCTTTGACTCCGTCTTGCTACTAAAACCTGGGCTTTTATTACCTTCCCGAGCCTCCTTCTCCCAACGCATAACAAAAGTCTGTTGGCCAGCTCTTCGCCGATGGGACGGCTAAAAGCGATGTGGGCGAGACAGTGGAATAAAGGGAGAACGAGGAAAATTACTTCCTTAACTTGATCTTCGTTGCTTTGTTGCGTAACTGACTAGACCAGCTGTTCTCAAAGCCGTGGGCCTCGAGAACCCTTTACACGTTTCCAAATTGTTGAGGATCACGAAGGGCTTTTGATTACGTGTTTATCGATGTTTACCGCATTAGAAGTCAAAGCTGAGAAGTTTTTCTTTTTTACTGTAGTTGACGTACAAAATTATATTAGTTTCAGGTGTATAACAGATTCGGCAATTACAAACGTTAGGAAATGCCATCGCAGTAAGTGTAGTTAACATCTGTCACCATACAAAGGTGTTCAAATATTACTGACCCGGGGCGCCTGGGTGGCTCAGTCGTTGAGCCTCTGGCCTTGGCTCAGGTTATGATCTCACAGTTCGTGAGTTCAAGCCCTGCATCCCGCTCTGTGCGGACAGCCTGGACCCTGCTTCGCATTCTCTGTCTCCCTCTCTGCCCCTTCCCCGCTGTTGTTTTATCTCTCTCTCTCAAAAATATACATTAGAAAATACGATTGACTATATTCCCACTGCTGTACTTTTTATCTCCATTTCTTATCAGTCTTATAACCGGACGTTTGTATCTCTTAGTCTCCTTCTCTGTGCATCCTCACCGCCTCCGCAATCACCAGTTCTCTGTATTTATTAGTCTCTATTTTGTCTGTTCCTTTTATTTTTTTAGGTTCCACATACAAGTGAGATCATATGGTATTTGTCTTTCTCTAACTTCAACTAGTGTAGTACCTTCTAGATCTACCCAAGTTGTCACAAATGGCAAGATTGCATTCTTTTTTGATATGCAGCTATATAATTTTATATAGAATCTGTTGATTTATAGTCCTTATCTTTCTGCATCCTAGTGTCCCACAGTAGTTTTCACATTTTTCACGGCCCCAGTCACAGTAAGAAATTTTTGTACTTTGCTGTGATACGTATTTGGAAAAAGTTTCATGAAAACGCTTCTTGCCTTAACTACATGTGATTTATTTTTTAAATTTTTTTTTTCAACATTTATTTATTTTTTTTGGGACAGAGAGAGACAGAGCATGAACGGGGGAGGGGCAGAGAGAGAGGGAGACACAGAATCGGAAACAGGCTCCAGGCTCCGAGCCATCAGCCCAGAGCCCGACGCGGGGCTCGAACTCACGGACCGCGAGATCGTGACCTGGCTGAAGTCGGACGCTTAACCGACTGCGCCACCCAGGCGCCCCTTAAATTTTTTTTAAAGTTTACTTTTTTATTTTGAGAGAGAGAAAATCCCAAGCAGGCGCCAGGCTGTCCGCACAGAGCCCAATGTGGGGCTCAAACTCACAAACCGTGAGATCATGGCTTGAGCCAAAACCAAGAGTCGGACGCTTAACTGACTGAGCCACCCAGGTGCCCCTAGGTGTGATTCTATCATGTGTTTTGTTTTAATTCGTTCTTTTGATTAAAAAAAAATACTGGTTGGGGATCAGTGAATTGTTTCCATTACCATATCTGTTGCTGGAAAACACCTGTCTGTGCTACATTGTTCTTCCAGAAGAGGCGTGTCAGTTTGGTCATTTCAAGTGATGTTGCAGGTTTTTATTGTTAGTCTGATAGTTGAAATAGTAAATGCTCCCTGTGAGTCCTCTTTGTTAGATTAGAGAAACTCCAAAAAACAGCCTCCTACCACCTGTCCTACATGTCCTGCCTGCTGTGACTACTCAGAGGTAAGCGTAGGCCCTGCGTGGCTCTAATACCCATGCTTTGGAGTCTTGGTGTTGGTGAGTCTTGATTAATTTTTTTTTTTTTTTAGTATTTATTTACTTTTGAGGGAGACAGAGTGTGAGCAGGGGAGGCGTAGTGCAGAGAGAGAGAGGAAGACAAAGAATCTGAAACAGGCTCCAGGCTCTGAGCTGTCAGCACAGAGCCTGACTCAGGGCTTGAACTCATGAACCTCGACATCATGACCTGAGCTGAAGGTGGATGCTTAACTGACCCAGGTGCCTCTGGTGAATCTTGATTTAACACAGAGCTTCATTTATGTGGAAAACACTTTGCAGCAGTTTTTGTTGTAGTTATGAACATGGGCTTTGTGTAGACTTCTGGCTTTGTTCCCCCCCCCCACCCCCAATATGTTATTGAATGTTTTCTCTATGTGTGACATTATACTCTGCCACAGAGAATTAAAGAAAAAGTAATGCTTGATTCTGTAAGGAACATACATTCAGTTTCACAGAAAATAAGCCACGAGGCAAGATATTCCTCACCTTTTCTCCTGTTAAAATGGATGCAGCACCAGTTAAGACTTGGGTCCAACCTCCCACCTGCACACTGGATCCCAGGTCCTGTTTTTTTTAGCATCGTGGGCCTTAATGTCACGTCCCGTTTCTTCCTGTGCCTTTAGTCTGCTGACTTATTCCCACCAGCACTGAAACATCCTGATGTCTCTTCCATCTTTAAGAAAAAGGTTTTTTTGTTTTTGGGTTTTTTTTTTTATAACCAAGCTTCTTAAAATGAATTGTAATTCCTACACTCTTCCTTGACATGATGCAGACTGGTTCCTGCCCCCACAGCTACAGTGAATCTATTCTAATCACGGACAGTAGTGCCCTCCACATTTTCCTGACCTCAACAGCACGTGACACTTTTGACCCGGCTCCTTTCTGCATAAGCCCCTCTGCCTCTCCTCCTGTTGATGATAGTACTCGAAGGATCTTGGACTTAAAAAGGTTACGAATTAGTGGGGCGCCCGGATGGCTTGGGTGGGTGAGGCATGCGGATCTTGGTCTCGGGGATGTGGATTTGAGTCTTAGGTTGGGTGTAGAGATTAGTTAACAATAAAATCTTGAAAAACAAACAACCCCCCCCCCCCCAAAAAAATAGTAATTTCTGTGCTGGTGAAAATCTGTGTCCATTACACCCCAGCCCCAGGTCGTTTCGGCTCTACTGAACCTTTTTGCATTTTTTCACTGCTTTGAACTTGGCTTTATGGTTACTTACCCTTTTCTTTGTAGTAGTTTTCTATAATTCTCTTCAGCTTCTATTTAATGGTCAGTGAGTAGCCTTTGAAGGTGTTTTTGTTTTGTTTTGTTTTTTTATTTAAAGTGTAGCTCAAAAACAGTGCGGTAGGGATTTTGCTGTCACGTTGATAGCATCCATATTTTGACATCTTTAGAGTAGATTCTTTTTCCAACATTTTACTATGAAAATTTTCAAATGTACAGAAAACTCAAAAATAATTGCACAGTAAACACTCATGGCTACCACCTAGATTCCGCAGTGAAACCTGCATTAACATTTTACTGTATTTGCTTTATCCTGTAATTGTCCATTAATTCATCTGACATTGCAGAAACTACTTTAGAGGGCTTGTAGCAGTCAGCTTTTTAGATTCAGTGATAGGCTATTTTAGTAGTTTCTCCACAGTTTGATGAAGGGGCACTCAGAAACTAAGTATTTATTATTTCAGCCATCACAGATTAACCCTGAAAAGTTGGGACACCGCATGAAGCAACCAAAGATGAGGTAGCTCTTCGGAACTATATAGACAAGCGTTTTTCAGCTGCAGATGGGGTAATGAAAACAATTTAATGATCTTAATATATTTCACGTTAAGTTGCAGACATTGGTACACTTTACCCCTAAACAATTTGGTGTGCTTATCATTAACCAGAGTTCATTATTTATTCTTTTTGTGTGTATGCACAAATTCATATGTTAAGAAATACACGAATCAATGCATTTTGACACGTGCCCATGCCTGTGTAATGCCATCTGTATCAAGACACAGAATACTACCTCGTTCCATCTTCCAGTCATGCCCTGGGCCCACAGAAGCCCCCACCGTTCAGATTTCTTTCCACCATTGGGTAGTCCTTCCTGCTTTAGAACTTCACGTAAGTGGAATCATGCTGTGTGCTCTTCTGTGTTCCACTGTCTTTAATCATAACGTTTTGAGTTGTTTGCCTCTTTCTGCTGGATAGTATTCCGTTGTATAAATAGACCCAGTTCCCCTGATGTTGGCACTGGAGCTGTTTCCACGATTTTGCTCTTGAGATGAAAGCAGCTGCGAAACTTCATGTAGAAGTCCTGGGTTTTCATTCCTCTTAGGAAGATGCTGGGGAGTGGGATTGCTAGGTCGTAGAGTAAGTCTGTGTTTTTCTGAAAAGCCACCAGTCGTTTTTCCAAAGTGCTTGGACCATGTTTTCCATCCACCAGCAAAGACCGTTCAGATGCCCTCTGTTCTGGTCAGCAGTTCGTGTCGTCCGTCTTCTTACGTCCAGCAATTCTGGAGGATGTGTCTAGACACCGCAGGGTGGCTTTAATTTGCATCTCTCTGATAAGGATTTTAAGTACTTCTCGTGTGTTTTTTGACCATTTCTATCCCTCTTCTAAAGTGTTAGAATTGCTTGCATTTTTTTTAATTGGGTTGATGGGTGTTTTTTTTTTTCTTGCTGTGTTGAAGGAATTCTTCATATACCATGGATGCCAGGCCTTTGTCAGGTATGTTTTGTGAAT